TTTGCGGACATGCTTGTAAGAGTGTTCTTTGAAAGCTGGACACAGTTTATCACTCTGCTATTCACTTTGTTACAAATGCTCCTTAAAGAACACCATTGTCACCTCTACTCTCTTGTTAAATGGCCTTCTCTACATACTCGTCATGAAATTTATTGGTTTACCCTCATTTATAAGACGTTGCTGGGTTTGTCACCTCCATATTTAACTACCATACTGTTCAGCCTATAAGTCACAGTTTTTTGCATAATTTGCATGCCCTGCGACTTAAATACTGAAGCGACTTATAAGCTTTTTCCCCATATTTATAACCCAATTTTTGGCTGAGATATGACTGTTTTCATTCATTATGACATTGAAAATATTGAACACTACCATTTTCAGCCGCTAGGTGGCACTTGAGTTGTATGGCATGCCGTTGTGTCATGTAATGGGTAAACGTGGCTATTAATGACACAATCAGCTTGCCATATACTGCCACTTTTCCCACTTTATTAGACATATTTGGACTGATGTGACTTATAGCCAATGTTCCCTCTAATTTTTCATGTGTCAGGACAAACACAAGTTCCCTGAGCGCACTGAGGACCACTGTGAGCAACATCAGATGTGCACGCTGTGGTCACACACCAGTATCACACCTGTTCAAAACCTGGGATCATAGCAAGTTACATGGCTTAATAAAATAATCAAATTACAGCAGCAATTTTCATTAATTTACTTTTAATATAAGTGATTTGGCCCACTTCAAATGAAAAAGACAATAATCTTGTTCAGGACATGTGTAGTATGTTAAACGTGAGAGTCCTGCTTTGGTCTGAGTGAGGGTCCTGCTGTGGAAGATAGTTAGCAATGAGGTGACCATTAGTGTCAGAAGCATGTTTGTAATGTGACAGGGACACACTGGTAGGGGGGTCTGGGGGTCCTCCCCGAGAATTTTTTTTAATAAAGTAGATGCCATTTCCTGCATTCTGGTGTATTTTAACTGGTTTTTCAACATATAGTTTTACCTACACAAGTAACACTTGATTCAATAACTATTTTAGAGTTAATGGCACGACAAGAAGTAACCTGACCAACAGCTCTCCTTGTGTGAATACAGCACGCTCCACTTCTCTCATGTATCCTAGTCACAGTCTAAGAAACACAGTTTAGCCTAAGTTAAGCTTTAGGTGAACAAAAATCACTAGTCAATATGAAACAATAATAATAATAATCACTCCTTCTTACCAATGGCCTAGCATAAAGCAATATGATAATCATCCATCGTGTTCATTAGCAGCTTAAAATACCTCATTAAAACTCCAGTAATGGGCTAGGTCTACTCTAACCTTACCCAGTTGTAGGGTCAAGAGACAAACATGTAGCATTAACACAGTATGAACAACATTCAGGAATTGTTTCTATAAGAACATTATCAAATATTTTATGTGAACGATAAGATCGCTTCGCCCACGAGGAAATGCAATCCAGGATGACCTCAGACAAACAAACAAAGATAGCTGAAATGTGGATGTAGAGAAGCTCCTGGCGTTACCTGAGGCATTTATTTCTTATTGACCAACATTAAGGCAAAGATGACAGAAAAATAATAATGAACTGCTAATAACTTAAAATAGTTACTGCAGTGGATGTTTTCATGCTGCAGATCAGCACAGGGCAAGAACTCACAGTGAATTTCAGTATGTAAGAGTAAATTTTACATTATGCAGCCTATTAAACTTCTTCTTCTTTCGGCTTTTCCCTTTTCAGGAGTCTCCACAGCGAGTCATCCTCCTCCATCTCACTCTGTCCTCACTCCAACTACCTCCATAACTGTATCCATATATCTCCCCTTGGCAGCTGCCTTTCTAACATCCTTCTACCAGTGTACCCACTGTCCCTCCTCTGGACATGTCCAAACCATCTCAGTCTGGTCTCTCTAACTTTATCTCCCAGTTGTTCAACCTGTGCTGTACCTCTGATGGTCTCATTCCTAATCTTATCCATCCTAATAACCTCAAGATCTTCATTTCTGCCACTTCCAGTTCGGTCTCCAGACCAACAACATAGTTTTCTTTGACCATCCAGATTTATACCGAGCACTACTGTTTGCTAACACTTAGCATGATAAAAACGGCTACAACTCGTGGGATTAGCTTACTTATCGCCTTTGTTTGATGTTGTATGACTGTAAACTTCTGTGATACATCCACAATGCCAAATATTATTCCTGGGTATGCGATGAAATATGCAGTATAAAGCTTGGAAAAGGGCAAGATGGTAAGGCGAGGTTGTTTGTAGCTACTTAGCTTCTTCGCACGTCAGCGCCGAAACTCCAGAAGACGCTGATTGGCTGGAGTGAAAGTTCTCCTGTGATTTCATTGGTTGAATTTTTCTTAAACTTCCGTTGTCGCTACACAAATCACGTGACACAGGTCTGTTTTGACCGGAAGATGGGGGCAGTGGGGGTTTCTTCCCCCCAGTCTGCACCACGTCATGCACTGTGTACAGACAGACTGTAGAGACGGCTGCGCTCTCGGGCTGACAGTTTATTATAAAGCGGGAGAGGACCAGATGTTTGGCTCGGGTCTTTGCGCAGTTTGCACCAGTTGCACTAACTGCACAGCATAGATTTTCTTGTGCGCAGAGAATGTGCGAGCAGTGCGCGGTTGTGCAGGTGCGCAGCTTAGAGGGAACATCGCTTTATAGGGCGATGCGCCGTGTACGGCGGAAAATACGGTAATCTACTACAAGTAGCACCGGTTTCGAAGTATAACACCCGATCTCAGTATTTGCAGTTTTGTTTTGTTTTTTTTACTCTAAAGACCAAGTCTCGCTTTGGCTCTGTGGCCTTTGCTTCTGCTGCTGGAATCTGCTTCAAAAATATTTGGATCTGATCTCACTCGTCTCTGTAAAAATCGTTTAAAAGCCGTGTTTTAAAGATACTTGCAAATGCTTTCATGCTTAATGTTGTCGTTTAACTTCGACAATGAATGTTGTTAATGTTTGTTATTGACTTCTAGATTTTATAGTGGATAAATAAAGGTGGAATGAAATGAAAAGGCATGTGATTTTTCTCCTCCAAAGGGTCTTTTGAACTTGTCATAAAACTCTAAACACAAAAACACTGAAATATGTGAAAAATGATAATTAATTGCCACATTACATGTATGATAAGTGACTTTATCTTACAGATCATTCAGAACAACGTGTAACTTTTGGACAGTGGTAATTTACTTGAAGCTTAATTATTGACTGCCATCAAAATCAGTTTTACAGATATTGTGCACGATCTCAATGTGGTAGTAGATGAGAGTCATCCACGACACATACTGCAAATACTCAACGCACAAGATAGTTGCCTAAAATTTCAGCTTTAATCTTTGGAGTCAACTCAGTCTGTTAGCAAAATATCTCGTGAAATTTTCAGAAAACTTATCTATGGATGTGAATGACTTTTACAGTCAAGCCAAGATGGCTGAGGCAAACCCATACACAGCTATAAGTCGGTCTGTTTTGCAGGTGCTGAGCTAAACTTTGGCGTGGTGGCAGCTGAGGCCCATCCTCAACACATCTCGCGAGATCTGGCACGATCCTGCGCTTTAAAAAAAAAAGGGCGGGTGATATGCATTCCTTCAAGGATTGCTGCTTGACCTCTTAATGGAGCTGTTTTCTCGACTATGTTAAAGTGGTTTTCCACGTGTAAACTTTTTTATTTATTTATTGGTTTGGTGTCTCAGAGCAGCTGAAAGCGGAACTGCTTCTGAACGGGAAACCATTTCATGAGTGAAGAGTTGCGCGTCGCTGCCGGGACGCGGCGCAGTTGTGCGCAAACCCGCAGCAGCAGGCCTCGTCCTGTCTCACACAGACATGACCAATGTCCATGTGTCTCACCTCTTGTCTTTTTGTCTTCAACCTCCTCCTGACTGACCCAGACGCTGAACACCCCCCCAGCAACCTCCACCTCTACCACGTGATCGCGTCAATCATCAAATCTGCGCACGTTTATGTGTTGGTGCGGACTCGACGCGATGACCCCAGCGAGCTTCACCTCCTTTTAGCTTTTCTGTGCAGGAGAAGAAGGAGGTGCTGCTGTGTTTGTCAGAGCGGCCATTTGGTTGAAGGCACGCCGCCTCGCGCAGCTTCCCGTCCTCCATTTTCCCCCTCTCTGTCTGTCAGGTCTCCTCAAGCGTCTTCACATTTGGGGAGTTCATTTTTTTAAATTTTATGTCGTGAAAATTCAAAGAAAGCACAAAGGCTCGCTGCGGTTGTGTCCCCACCACCACCTCCTCCTCCACCTCCTCTGCCTCCATGCGTCTCGGCGCACAGAAACTGGAAGTGCAGGCGCTCGGGCGACACATGAAATGTTGTTTTCACACGCACGTTGCAGGAGAAGTGCGCGTCCTCATGAATCTAAAAAGTGTCCCTGACGTGCACGGAGCAGAAGCAGCTCTGAACTTTCATCTCCAGCACACACGCGCACTTTCTGGCCTCTTTTTTTTTTTTTTTTTTTTGTCCTCCTGCTCTCCTCTGGAGGAGGACTCCATTTTGAAGAGACCGGGACCTGAACAGCAGCAGCTCACGATTTTCTGCTTCCTTCCTGTCGGGTGCACCATCCGGAGGTGGAGGACATTTTATTGATTGATTTATTGATTTTTGATCAACATGTCTGAAGTTTGACACATGGCGGCTTTGGGTTAATTATTGCTTTTAATTAGGGGATGTGGGCGGGGCCACGCGTTTGGTGGTTCTGATATTTTCCCTTCTTCTTGAAGGGGGGGGGGGACCTGATGACTGAGCGCACATAGACTTGACTTTCAAGGAGGGGGGGCAGGAAATACAACCACACATTAATGTAGAAGGTTAAAGTTATCTTAAAGCAAAGAAAAGCAGAGGAGGAGCACAGCCCCAGTTATTCCCTTTATCTTATTTATTTATTTATTCCAGGGGCCGCTAGCGCGTGAAGAGAGAGGGCGAGAGAGAGAGGGGGGAGGAGAAGGGAGGAGGGGGGGAGTGAGGGAGCTCAGGATCCAGGCCTAGCAGTGGTGCTGCCGGCGGGACTCTCCTCATCCGCCTTCACAAAATCGGAAATTTGCGCATTTAGTCGCCAAAATGCGCAGATCCCGGCTCGGCTCTGCGCCGGGACACAGCGGAGTGGTAAGAAGCTCGCGACAGATCCCGCGTCAGGACGCGTTTTGTGCGTGATTGAGCTGTTTGATGCACAGCGTTAGGAGGGCTGCATCATGGAGTGTGTGTTTGTGTGTGTCAGTGTGTGTGTGTGTGTGTGTGTTCATGAACTTGTGTCTCGTCGCCTTGTTTTATTCCCACGTTATGATTTTTCATGTGCAACCACACACACACACCTATACACACACTTAATATACACACACAGTCCTGGTGTCCACGCGCGGCCCAACACGCACGCGCGGGTCCATTTTAATTCCTGGTGTGCTCTTTTCTCCCAACCTGCCGCGGTGGAAAGGTGTAACTGGCCTTCCTGTGCGCGTGCTCGTGCGAGCCAGCTAACAGGCTGACCTTATCGTGTCTCATGTCATTTCCAACATATCGCGATAACAGAAAGGCTTTTTCAGCTCATTGTTTGCAGCTTCAAGTGTCACTCAGAACGATGGGGGGGGTTATTTATTTATTTTTATTTCATCCTGTTTGACAGACAGGTGGTTATTTATTTATTTATTTATAAATCTGATGTCTGCGTTGCCATGGCATCCAAGTGGAGGTTTGTGGACAAAACGATAAAATCGATGAAGACGTTTTAAAGGTGCCAAAGCGGCGACAGCCCCAAAACTCCCGACGTCAACTTTTAAAACGATCCGAGCTGACAAAATGTCTGTTTTCATGTGTAATCCAGATCAAAGGAAATGTTAAAGCAGCTGCAGGTGGAGCTTCATGGTTGCCGTGGTAACCACATGCCTGTGTCCCTCACTCCCTGATCACGCCTAAGTGGATAGTCGGGTCGTTTTTGGACTGGATGTTCTGTCAAATAGTTATCAGTAGTTAAATAATGTGTTATGTGTTGTCATCATTGTATGTTCCCAATGGCAAAATGGGCTCTCTGCTTTTAACCCATCCACCACCAGGTGGAGCAGTGGGCAGCTACAGAAAGCGCCGGGGGAGCAACTGGGGATAAGGTGTCCTGCTCAGAAACACCACAAGATATGCAATGACCAGGGATCGAACCCAGAACCTTCGGGTCCCGAGTCGGCTGCCCTGCCCCTACACCATAGTTTGTACCTTGTCCGTCATAGGACCCACTGAGAAAGGGCCTCGTCTTTGTTTGGGCTAGGCTAATAGCTAGCCAAACAAGGCGCCTCAGTACGGGGCTTAGACGCCTTCTGGCTGTCTCGGTGTGATGAATGGACTGAGACAGCGAGGGGAGTCAAAGCCAACCCAATCCTGATGTGCCTGTGTGTCACAAAGCGAGGTAGTAACAGAGCCAAAATGGTCGACGTGTGAAAAGATAAGCGGGTGCTGCAGCTCAATAATGTGATGAAGTGAAGACCAGTGGTCTGTGTGAGATTAAACATGTGGAGAAAAGGTCGATGATGACGCACTGCAAGTTTGTACCCATCCATCCATCCATCCATCCATCCATCCATCCAATATCTTTACCTGCTTCTTCCTTTTTGGGTCACGGGAATTACTGGTGCCCATATCCAGCCATCACTGTGCGAGAGGTGGGGGACACCCTGGACAGGTCTCCAGTCCATTGGACACTTAGAGACAAACGAGACAAACTATTCACTCTCTCACTCACACCTAGGGACAATTTAGCGTTACCAGTCAGTGTAACATGCATGAATTTGATCTGTGGGGGGAAACCAGAGTACCTGGGGAAAACCCACGCATGCACAGAGAGAACATGCAAACTCCACCCAGAAAGGTCCCCTGCCGGGATTTGAACTGGGGCGACCTGCTCGCTGAGAGGCAGCAGCTCTACCAACTGCGCCAACGTGTTGTCCAAGTTAGTTTACCATGTTTAAAAATTAATAAGGGTGGAAAGGTCCGTCACACATTTGTTGTGATCCACATCAGTGCAGCTGAGTTATGAGCTACGTCTCGTCTGGTTCCACAATGCTTGCTACGTTTCTGAAAGCTCCACCACACCATGCAGACGTTTGTCCACTTTGTTAATGGCTGCCCTTGCTGCAGTGCGTGACAAGGTCACATGACCAGTGCATATTCTGTTTAATCCTATGAACCCACCCTCCCTAGATAAGTGCTCCCTGGTGACCGACTACAATGTAAATTTTAAGCCCCGCCCCTCCACGTGAATGAATCGGACATTTTCTTGACTAAAGAATAAAAATGCACCTCAAATCATTTTTTTTTTTAATCAAGTATAAGTTTTTCAGTTCATGTAAGTTACATATGTTCAGATTTGCATTTAAAGCACTTTTAGTTTTAATTACTTATTTACAACTTAAGAACTGAGTGACGGTGTCACAGCCTGTTGGCGAGTTAAGGGTGTGCGTATCGACGGTACAACTTCACGTCCTCAGTGTTCAACCTGTGGCTCCAAAAGTACGAAATGGCAGCACTCAAAAGAATGGATAGTTTGGCTTCAATTTTGGACAACGGAGGAAGGTGGCGACACTCAGTTCATCTTTATTAATGTCAGTGAACTAGACGTCTTGATCAGGTGGGCTGATACGTTCAGCACTATCGGTACGTACAGTCTATGCTCTGCACATACCTTTGCGTCGCAAGATGGGCGCTGTTCGCTTGAGCAAACCGAGGCAAAGTTGTTGCAATTTTTGGCAAAATGTCCACAATCTTTCATACACTTCTACCTATGGCTGGACGATATGCCTAAAACTTTTATCGCAATATATTTCTTAATTTCGGTCAATAACGATCTAATTCCGATATCGATATAAACAATATAAAAGCCTCAGAAAAACTACAAACTGTACAAATAAATTAATGTTCACCTTTTATTTGTATGTAGCCTTCAAAGAAGTTTGAAATCACTGTTAAACATAAAACTCAACTTTGTCAATATCAATAGTTTGAACTTTAAATATCATAACCTAACCCATGCAGCAAACTGGGTTTCTCTTTTGATACAGCTGGGGTGTTGTTTCAGGGACACGTTGGCTCAAACTTTTATTGTGCTTCATCTTCTGACTATAGAGATTGGAAAGATGGGGTAGAGGTAGGGCAGCTGACTTGGGACCAGAAAGTCGCAATTCGACTCCCAGCCATTCCCACATGTCGTGGTGTAAATACCCAATCCCCATTTGCTCCCCGGGCTCTTGCATATCTGCCCACTGCTCCACCTGGGTGTATCTCACGTGTGATGGGTTAAATGCAGAGAACTAATTTCACCATTGTATGTTCCCACACAATGATGACAACACATAGCATTTTACTTATACTATTCCCAATCAAGACGCATGTTTTGATGCATAATTTCTATGTTTGCTTTTTTTTTGTTTTATGTTAAAACAGAGAGAATAGGAATAAAAATGTGTTGTGTATTTTCTTCTGTGAATATTATGTCGTAATTGAAATCTTATCTCCTAAACACAATGTTGTGATTTTCTCAGTTTGATTGAGTTGGTTTAATAAAAATACGCATTATCCAATTTTTCACATTAATTTTTGTAAAGTTAAATCCTCCCTAATCCTCTTTTTTTATTATTTCAGGGAGGTACCATGCCAGCTTGAGTGGGTCATACTGTGTCTCTGAAAGGAAAACTCTTCAGTCCAGCTACACTCTGACCCCCGCCCGTGACCTGCCTGACCCTCCAGACGGCACCACCAAACGATCGGCCTTAACATGTCTGCCACCACCTCCTCCCTCAAGCATTCGTCTGTCTACAGGTTCACCCAAACCGACCACTCGTCTTCCTCTTCGTCTTACAGCCCTCTCAGGAGGCTGCAGCATCTCACCACCATGGTGAGCCAGCCGAACCTTGTCCTCCCAGTGAGGGATCCAGAAAGGAGCTGGGAGTGGGGGGCGCAGGGGAAGGGGAAGGGTAAAATGGAGAGGGACTCCTGGGTTGATTACAAGGATTATTCTGTCTCCCAGATTACAAATGGAGAGGAGAACTTTGCTCATTCTCCTTTTGGACAGAAGCAACCCGAGGTCCAAAATGGAGGTAGAAACACCCCTCCTGCGAGTTGTACCAGTTCTGTTATTTCAGAGAAAAAAGCAGAAGGTTGTTTCTCAGGCCCACCTAGCCCAGCTTTCTCTCTTGATAGCAACAGCCCCTTTGCAAATGGCTTACTCCACTTTGAATCCACTTTGTTTGAGGGAGAGGACAACGATGAAGAACGAGAAACCATATCACCCATTGGAGGTATTCTGGACCATCAGGATAAAACTGAGCCTCAGTCTCCTCCCAGAAATATAAATATGGCCTCAAAGGACACCGTGCTCCCATCAGCTAAGGTGGTGACGCGCTCCCAGTCTTCAGGTCAACGCAGGAGATACTGGGACGGCTCGGAAGACGAGTGGGACAGTGACACTGAGCTGTTCCTGTTTGAAGACAGTCCATTTCTGCATTCAGTGGTAAGTTTGACCCTCGACAACATACATTTGAAATAAATGTGCTGGTTTTTTTTCCATGTATAAATCCACAATAGATCATCACATGGGACATAAAACATCTCATTAACATTGGCCTGTTATTCAAGTCAAGTCAACTTTATTTATAAAGCACATTTAAAATGGCAGCTGTTACTAAAGAGCTTAACACAAAACATCAATGGGAGTAATTTAATGAAGAAAAATAAAAGTAATGATGGTACTGAAAATTAATTAAAAGCATCAAAAGAAAAACATAAAAACACAGAACAATAAAATACTAAATCAAATCACAATGTGTCAAAAGCCAGAGAAAACAGATGAGTTTTTAGCAGAGATTTAAAAGCAGGGAGTGAAGTGGCCTGTCTAATGTTGAGGGGCAGATTGTTCCAAAGTTTAGGGCCCACGACTGAAAAAGCTTGATAACCTTTGACCTGACTGACCCCAATATAATGTGTGTTACAGTAGTCCAGTTGGGTAGTAATAAAGGCATGGACTAATTTTTCAAGGTCAGATCTGGACAACACTGACTTAAGCTTAGCTATCTGCCTTAACTGGAAAAAGCTTTTCTGCAGAACAAAGTTAATTTGTTTATTAAACTTAAAGTCAGAGTCTAAAACCATCCTGAGATTTGTAAGACTGCTTAAGATATGGCTCAAGACAGTTAAGGTTTATAGGATCAGAGACAGCGGTGCTAGGGCTAAACACAATGACTTCAGTCTTCTGATCATTAAAACTTAAAAAAGTTGAAGCCATCCTTGCCTTGATGTCATCAAGACATTTTAACATTGGATGAATGGAGCAAGAAATATTTGGTTTTAAGGGCTGATAAATATGACAGTCATCAGCATAGCAGTGAAAAGAAAGACCATGTTTCCTCAGGATGGACCCCAAAGGGAGCATAAAGAGTGAAAACAGAAGGGGTCCAAGAATTGAGCCCTGTTGGACCCCACAGGAAAAAGGCACTGAAGCTGATACACTATTACACACAATCTACTGTCACTCAGATAAGAACAGAACCATTCTAATGCTGCACCTGAAATCCCAACCCAGTGTTCTAACCACGATCAAAGGATACTGTTGTCAACAGTATCAAAAGCAGCGGTGAGGTCCAGGAGTACAAGTATCACAAACTGACCAGAATTGTTTGCTAACAGATATAGACAGATAGTTATTGGAAAACATTACTCAGTATTGAGCTGAAATTTACAGAGACGTGGCTCTGTCTTGATTTAACATAGAAAAAATATATAATCCCCCAGAAACTGTTACAAGATATGAATGGAAGGAACGGACAGAAAAATATATCAACTTTCTTCTTGAAGTGAAAGGAACTACAGTATGTCTGATGACGACTAACTGATTTAGCTTCTATCTAGACAGTCTAGACTTCCAGCTGCAACAAAAGAAACTAGAAAACTAGAAACTAAAAGTGATTTATCTTTAAAACAGCACTCCTTTTCTAAGTCTTAAGCTCATTCGTTATGAATAAATGTTCTCCAAATAAATTTATTTTTTACCCACTTGGTTCTTTTCAGGGTATTTCCAGCAATCATTGGGCAAACGGTGCGGTACACCCTGAACAGGCCACCAGTTCATCACAGAGTCACAAAGAGGCAAACAAGACAGACAATCTAATGGTAATTTTTAGTTGTCAATCATCCTAATATGTATGTTTTTGGACTTTGGGAAGAAACTGGAGAAAACCCATACACATTGAGACGATGCAAACTCCACAGAGAAAGGCTCAGCCAGGAGTCCAAACTGCTACTTTCTTACCATGAGGCGACGGTCCTAATCATTTACGCTACCGTGCATCCCACTATTCTGAATAATAATAATGTCATAATGTGTTATGCATTGTCATCATTGTATGTTCCCATACCATGGCGAAATTGGCTCTCTGCATTTAACCCATCCACCACCAGGTGGTGCAGTGGGCAGCTATTGAAGATGCCTGGGGGGCATTTGGGGATAGGGTGTGCTGCTCAGAGACCCCATGAAATGTTCAATGACTGGGGATCGAACCTGAGACTTTCGGGTCCCGAGTTGGCTGCCCTGCCTCTACCCCATCTCGGCCCCCATAAAAACCATTCATTAAAGTTAGTCAAATCAGTTACCAGCTTGATCTTCTAAAAGCAATTCAGCATGATTTTAAAAATACTGTTAAACATGGGCTAAAACAGGAGTGTCCAATCCTGGTTCTCCAGGGTCACTATTCTGCACGTTTTGGCTATTTATCTGCTACAACACACCTGTTTTAAATCAATGCAGGCTTCTGCAGAACACGATGACATCATTCAACCATTGAATCAGGTGGGTTGGAACAGGGAAATGACTAAAACATGCAAGCTAGTGGCCCTCCAGGATTAACAACCATCCAACCTATTTAATGTTGTTTTTTAGGCATATAAAATAAGCCTTAGAAACATCATGCACAGGATTACAAGAACCTCAACACTTTTGCACGAGATTGTTGTTTAGTTTGTCAGCGGTGGTAAAACCTAAATATAATTGCGCTGAAACTGCTGAGTGTCATCAGTTGATGGTTAAAGAAAACTAAACATCCCTTGAGAACCTGGAATTTGAAGTTAGAGTGGGACCAGCATCCCTGGAGGCTGTCTGGATGTAGATGTTGACAAAAAATTGATTGACACAATGAATTTTGTAATCAAGACTAGGCCTGTCATGATAACAAATTTTGCTGGGCGATTAATTGTCTCAGAAATTATTGCAATAAACGATAATATTGTTTGAAATTTGACAGTAATTAGCAATTATTGTCAAATTTAAGAAGAAATGTTTAATTTGTTTTGCATGTAGTACCTTTTTTGGACCACCAGATGGCAGTATAAGACCGTTTGAACCGAAGGATGGATAGTGAGGGAGCGAGCAGCGTGTCTCTTTAAAAAAAAATGGGAGGGAGGCCCCTTGACGTGACATGGTCTGTCTCTTGTTCCTGTTTTTCGGTTCTCAAAATGGCGAACGCTCGGTGTGGTTTGAGCTCTTCAGCATAGCATTTTTCACACAAAGCTTTTAATTAAAAAAAAATCGGTAAACAAGTTCTCAGCTTCTTTTTGCAGAGAAAAACGACGTTTTACATGAAGGCACGGGTTTCGACCATGAATTTTGGAGCTTTGACAAGACGGAGGTTTTTTCCCGAAGTCGGCCTGTTAGCTTAGCTCATAGCTTAGCTTCTCAGCTTAGCTGCTTTTAACAATCCAAAAGCATGATTTTAAAGAGAAAGAGAAGGGTCAGTGAAGAGCACTGGTGTTGAGCCTTTTGTCATCCAGTGTCTTCAGTAGAAAGAGAGACATGAAGAAACGATAAAGCCGATAAATGAAAATGAGGTCGATAATTTTCATTTATCATGCGATTGATTGATTTATTGTTTATTGCAACAGGCCTAATCAAGACAAATACAATTTGGCTAAACTTCCTTTTATTTAAAGGGTTTTACGCATTTCATGAAATTACTGGTAGATGGAAAAATTACAACTGGGAGTAGCCAATAATTTGGCTACAGGACGCATGGCAGTCATAACTCAGGCCTGTCTGAGTACACACTCTAGTCTGCTTTTTAGTAGTTTAATGATACTGCTGTGCTGTAGATTGTGTTCTGGTCTGAACAGACAACAAGCTAAAATAAAAAAGGTCATAGTCAGAAACTGATCCATTGTACACATCATTGGTTGAAAATCCCACCCTCTTTTCAGTGTTTTTGTGAGTAATTTTACATGAGCAAAAGTCCACATTTAGTTTTTGCCATTTTAGTTTTCTGCACCTCTCTGTCAATTAACTCTTTCCATTGTCCTGCAGCAGAACAGTCCGAAGAGAAAACCTTTGCCGCCTGTGAAATTCGTCGAAGGTGAAGTTGTTTGGGCAAAGTTCAACCGTAGACCATGGTGGCCCTGTGAAGTGATTGTTGACTCTTCACAGGGCGTCTATCACAGAGTGAAAGGTGGGTGTGAAACATTGACTTGCTGTGATATTGTACTAGGGTCGCTAGGGATGGGTATTGCAGAATATAAATGCTGTGGTGTTTTGTAATTCCTACTTGCTGTAAATTAACAAATAATGAAAATCACTTGTTTTAATTTTGAAGTTTTTTGCCAAATGCAAAATCTCTTGGTTCTGATATGCTTTCATTTAGAACGATTTTTATACTGCAGATTTTTTTTTCCACAGATGAACATTTTGGTCATGCTTACAAATTATAGAGTGCTTTGACTGTATATAAGTTACATTTTCCATATTTCAGCTACTTGGCTGGCACCGCTTTGTGCTTCCTGCATTCCTGGCTGACTATTTGAATTTTCCAATCACTTGTCTTAGAGCCCAGTGATCGGCTCTGTCGGCTCTACTACGTCCGGACCTTTGGGGAGCCTAAGGAGCTTTTCTGGGTGGAGGAAAAATCAACCCACACTTTCCATGGAGGCTTTGAATTTGAACAACTCCACCTATTGCGCCGCAGAGGGAAGCAAAGGGAACAGAACAAGAAATACACTGTAATTATTCAACTTTACTGATTACAACACAGTGCTTGCGTGCCATGATAAAATGTTGGTGCTACACATAATTATGAACTGGGTTAGAAAATTAAAGCATTAAATGAAATAACCGATATATTCAGGAATGTGATTGATTGAGTGAATTGGTCTGGACTGCCATTGAGTGGTTTTTGTTTTGTTTCTCTGCAGATAGCCAAGCGTTTTCAGGATTCTTGGAAATCCAGCGTGGCGGAGGCCGAGTCTGTTCTGCCTGGGAGACCTAAAATGGCGCCCTCCATGTGTTCATCCACAAATACTGCTTTCACTTGTAGCTCACCCCAAGAAAGAGAGACTAGGACCCATCCAACCTTTCCTCCTCTCAGTTCATCAGTCTCCACCCTCCCTGAGACATTGCACATAACCAACGGATTCACTTTATCCCCAAATACAACTCCAACAAAACCAAGCACTTTAAAAAAATCTTCTGGAAAGAAGAAGCAAAGCAAATCCCTAAAAGGCACCAACAGTAAACACTCTAAAAAGACACTGCAGTGTAGCCCTGACCAGTCAGGCCGAGACAGTGGAGAGTGCCCGTACTCGGACCTCGATTCAGTCCCTAAGATTTTATGCCCTAAAGCGCTCGAACGCCAGCCTAAGCTAGTTCCATCTCAGCCGTCTGTCGCAGTTGTTAAAGAACTGAAAAAGCAGCCTGAGATTCAGAGTGGTCTTTGGTTCAGCAAATCAGGCAAAGAGCGTCGACCTAAAACCACCAATCCAGTGCCGGATCGCTCTCTCTTCAGTAAGGTGCCCTGTAAGAAAAAGACTGTATCCACTTCGAGTAAAAAGACGCTTGTTTCTCCTGCATCCTCATTTGGTGGAGCATTCAGTGACCAGGCAACATTACCAGAAAAGCAAAAAACAACCGATAACCATCTGTTGCTTGAACAGTCGGAACCTATAAAGCAAAAAAACACTAAAAGCAGTACAAAGCCTGTGGACACTGTTGGTAGTTCTGTTGACCAGTCAGGATATTTGGACAACCAGATGGCCTTGTTGTCTGTAGAGAGTCCAAAGGTCACGCAGACGAACAATAATTCAGCTGACAATGTTGTTAACCCTTCATCTGGTCTGTTAAGTATCTCAGATGTTAAAATGGACTCGGTGCCCTCAAAGAAAGTTCAATTCCATGACCAATCCAGTGTTTTAAAGAGTGGAAACAGTGTCAGTCGAACCAAAAGTTCTGCCACTATGGCTACTAAACAGGTTAGTAAAACAGACAAGACCTCTGACCAAGAAAAAGAACTCGACAAGACTTCAGCGTCTTGTTTAAAAGCTGAAACTAATGACTCGGAGTCTAGACTAGAAAATCATACAAGTCTTGTTTCTAGGTGTAGGCTTCCCTTTGTGAAATTGATACGTAAAGAGATAAAAGACAATTACCTAAACTCTGGTGTCAGAGTTCGTCTCACTGACCAAATCAAACGCACAAAGAAAGAGAAAACATCAGAAGCTAATGGGATTGAAGCCTTCCCGTGTCAATCAGCCCGAAACGACAGCAAGTCAAGTTCATGTATGGAGCAAACCGTACATGCAGGACCCATGAAGGTCGCAGTCAAGAAGTTAAAAGCCAGCAATGGGTCTGATGTGCTTCGTCTCTCAGATTCATTACATGATGATACCATGGTTGCGTCTGACAAGTCTGCTGATGACTTGGCTGGCCCAGTTGCAGAGAGGATATCGGTTTTGATTGCAAGTCCAAAAATTGTGATTCAGTCATTGTTCAGTCAGTCCGAGGGGAACAAGACTCCTTTGTTGGATCAAACAAACAAATCTGATCAGTCAGACAGTTTAGACCAAAGCATTGCACTTGTTACAGCTTCTAGTACAACTCCTCAACCTTCTAAGCATATTGAAGACCCTGTATGTCAAAATTCTGTAGTTCCCGAAGGTCCTTCTGAAGAACCCACGAAAGTTGTTCATGATTCAAAGCAGGTTTCTGAAGTAAATCAAGCCCTGAACAAGCAGCCTGCACACCTCCCTGCCAGCAATGGGCTGATGACCAGAGCACTTAAGGCCATGCATGAGGTGGACCAGAAGAAGCGTGAAAAAATCCTACAGGAAGTTGAACAAAAACAGCTCCCAAATTCTTCAAGAAAAGTGGAGGATCTAGAGTGGAAATCTGATGTGGGACTAGACGTTTGCACTAATTTAAAAATTTTTAAATCTCAGCATGTTGTCAACGTTGAACATGATCAAGACGCAGTTTCATTCTGTAGCTCCCCATCTTTAACGTTTTCCGATTCAAATGACTTTGAAGCAAATGTTAAAAGTGAAGACGAAGACCACTCGGTATCCTCAACTCCAACGATGGACTTCATACCTCTGACTTCTAAAGAAAAGGCAAAGCATGAAGGTCAGTCTTCCAGCATACAGTCTTCATCGTCACCTCCCTCACCATTTTCATTTATGAAAGACTTTAAAAATGTAGAGGAGGTTTCCTTCCAGTCCCTGACGAACGACAGTGATGGTAAACCCATCTCTTTCAAGACAGACAAGAAGTACAAGTTCAGCACTTTTCTTATGATGTTAAAGGACTTGCATGATACAAGAGAGCGAGAAGGGGCACCACTCGAGTTAGACATTGGGCCACCAAGTGCACATGTTAAGGAGGAGCCTTTGGTGCTGCCACAAGAAGCTCCGTCAACAGGACAAGGTCAAAACCTGGAATTTGTTCTCAGCAACATAGATTTGAGTCCAAACAAAAGTGTAGTCCCACAAAATGAATTTAGTGCTTATCAGAAACCCAAGAGGTCCTATAATAAAAAGGGCTCCCATTGGTTGAAAAGGAAAAACAATCGAAGAACACCTCATTCCATCAGGTCTGGACCTGGTTTTCCAGGACTGGAGTCCTCATTCCAAAAGAAGTACTTGTCAGCAATGAAAACCTCGTTGAAGGTGGACTTTTCATCAAGGATTCTGGGTATACCAGGCAGCAGCTGGCAGAGCCAGACTGAAGGTGGTGAAGAAGAGGTTTTGCGAGAGGAGGAGAGGTGGACCAGTTTTAAAGGGAATCACCAGATCCTGGTGCCTTTGGTGCAGGAGAGTGACACTACTCTGCTTCTGGAACAGGAAAACGACCTGGTTGCAGACTACACCAAGACTAACACAGGACTGGTGCTTCAAATTGGGCATGAAAGTAAGGCTTCAAGAGGTAAGTACAGTCAAATACAGCCTGCACAGCCACGGGACAAAGGAAACACTGTTTGTTCCACTCTTTACATTTGTTTTTACACAGCTTAAAGTCCCCCCACACACACACACACAACATTTTAGTGCCTATAAACAGTCATGTAATGTAAGTGACCATCCAAGTCCAACTCAGAGAAAAATGATTGAAAAGTACAAGACGGGGGATGGATACAAAAGGATTTCCAAAGCCCTAAACATTCCCAGGTGTTCTGTTACATCCTTAATCAAGAAATGGAAGGAAAATGGGACACGTGTAAATTTACTAAAAGAAGTCCGTCCTCTCAAACTGAGTGACAGGGCAAGAAGGAGAATAATGGGACACTTGTGATCGCTCTGAAAAAGTAACAATCTTCAGCAAGTGCTTGTTGTGGCCTCTATAAAATATTTAAGCTTGGACTTCTAAGACGGCAGCAATTCACCTTACCAGTAAACTGGATGGCAAAGTTGTGCAAAAACCAAAATATATGGAGTTAATCCAACTGATTTGAATTATTTTTATTACTACTTAGTTATATAGTAGTCCCTCGCTACTTCGCGGTTCGACTTTCGCGGACTCGCTCTTTCGTGGTTTTTCAAAATATGATTGGACATGACACACAATTGGCTGACTGATGGAGGAGCCGCACGATCGGCATGGATTTTTTTATTTAAAATAAATTATTTAAAATTATTTAGCACCTGCTACATCTGTGTACAGCCCACATGTGCAGGGAAAAGCTCCCTCCTGCAGCACGTCATGATCGCCACTCTGCAGTGGAGAAGTGGGCGTGGCCGAGAGTGCTGGCAGGTGGCAGAGATCATGACATGCTGTGCTCTTTTAGAGCGTTTAGAGTTTAGAAACATTGTTTAGAAAATTGCAAGAGTGTGGGAAGGGTTTAAATGCTTTAATATATACATATAAATACTAAAACTACTACTTACTACTTGTACTACTTTTCCTACTTTGCGGCTTTTCACTTATCGCAGGGTCACTGAGAACAGAAACCCCCACGATAAATGAGGGACTAAAGTACTTTGTTCTGAACGAACAACTTTAAATACATTTTTAACAAGAAAAAGACAAGTTGAATACTTTGGTTTTTGTAGGTTAAAGCATAACAACTTCAGCTGAGAGAGCCCTTTGTAGATACTACTGATAGTTTTGATGTACTCTGCAAATTATCGTTTTTCTCTTTGTGTTATTTAGAGCATAAACGAAAACGAAAACCCAGCAAGAGGCTGATTGAATGGAGCGAGGTGTACAACCAGAATTTCCCTGCAAGGAAGAAAACCAAAAAGCCTCTCCAGTTGATTGGAAAGGTAAAAATCCTACAAAGTAAGCTCTGATATAACTTTATAACTTAATTAACTTGTTTAATTTGCTTTAGAGTTTCTCGTTAGGAAGCCAGTTTCGGTTCACACAGTCAGAAACTGCACTCACAGTTTGTTTTATTTAGGCCACCGAACACGTTACGTCCATGTCTGAAGTGCCTGGGTCGGACCAGAACGACCAGGACCACGCGGCCTCGACCATACTTCCTGAAATACTGACTCCGCCTCCGGAAGAATTCGTTCTGACTACGCCTCCTGAGCTACAAATTCCCAAGGCTGAACTCCCATCGTCCCAAGATCCACCGATGCTCTCCATGAACACGTTAACCCCCCCTCCTGAAGCGGACTCACCGGCTGAAAGCCTCGTTACAGACAACAGTAAGGCAGCCGGTCCTTTGTGTTTAACTGCATTTAGGATCACAGAAGATTTTCGGAGCCTTTTATGGTTTAACATGGTCGTAACGTTTGATCAACAGAAGGTGCTGCTGTGTTTGAGAAGAAGCGTAAGAGGAAACCCACTCAGAAGATCCTGGAGTATTGTCTGGAAGCAGAGGCATCAACAGTCCCCAAGAAGAAGGTATGAGAAGTCTGTTTAAACGATTTGGCACATCAAAAGTAAAATACTGTGGAAAAAACTCTTTAAGTTTTCCTCTTTTGATTGACATGTGTCGTTCAAGGAGCCAGAACTTCTTGCATAGTGGTCTGGATCGATAATTTCTTCAGGCTTTTAGAAGATTTTTGACATTTTTCTTTATAGATTTTTGCTTCTTTTTTACTCTATCAGTTCAGGAGCTGATTATTTTCAGAAAAATATTTGTATATTATCACCCAGACATAAAATAAATGTCTACATTTAGAGGGTCTGTAGAGATTTTACCAGGAGCCTATCACAAAGACAAATTTGTTCTAGTGTTTTTATATTACGATGTAATAAATACTTAAGATAATACAGTTTGACAAACAGAAAATAGTATTTAGTATCAACAAGGTGATCTGTGGAGGATGATGCATCTCCTGGGTCCTGTTTCAGGTCTTTGCTGATTTACCGTGTTTTCCACCGTAAACGTTGCACCGCCCTATAAGTCGTATCAGTCCAAATATGTCTAATAAAGTGGGAAAATCGCAGCACGGTGGCGCAACTGGTAGAGCTGCTGCCTCTCAGCGAGCAGGTCCCTGGTTCAAATCCCGGTCCAGGGGCCTTTCTGGGTGGAGTTTACATGTTCTCCGTGCATGCGTGGGTTTTCTCCGGGTGCTCCGGTTTCCTCCCACAGACCAAAAACATGCATGTTAGGCTGATTGGTAACTCTAAATTGTCCCTAGGTGTGAGTGAGAGAGTGAATGGTTGTTTGTCTCCATGTGCCCCTGTGATGGACTGGAGACCTGTCCAGGGTGTACCCCGCCCCTCGCACAGTGATTGCTGGACATGGGCCCCGGCAACCCCCGTGACCCAAAATGGAAGAAGCGAGTAAAAGATGGAGGGATGGAAAAATCCATAACTATGTTGCTTCACTGTATACGTTGCATCTATTTAACGTCACTGCTGACAACCTGGAAATGTGGACCAGTGTTGCGCCAAAAATCAATTGGCTGCCAAATAGCTGCCACGGCAGCATGCAAGGGAGGACTTTAACAAGCTAAACACTTAAAAACAATTATTTGTTTGCTCGACATTATAGTAAAGTTGTGTCTCAAGTTAACTTTTTACTTAATAAATGCACTGTAATTGTCAAATCAGATTCAGTTCGCTGGGGCGGTCCAGCGAAATGAAGCTGATTTGACGGTTGCTCCAGGCAAGCTGGATGAAGGTGGCAGTCTGTGGCAAGCCGATTGTGTCAATATCCACTTTTACCTATTACATGACACAGCGGCATTCCATACAACTCGAGTGCCATCTATTGGCTGAAAATGATAGTGTTCAATATTTTCAGTCAGAACGAATGAAAACGGTCATATCTCAGCCAAAGATTGGTTTATAAATGTGGAAAAAAATCCATAAATACGTCGTTTTGGCGTATAAGTCGCAGGGCATGCAAATTATGCAAAAAACCCACAACATATAGGCTGAAAAATACGGTATTTATTTTTTGTTCAATTTATAATAAACCTGTTCATCTGTTGTAGATCATATTTTAGATTGAACTCTTATTTGTCCACTTTGGTCAGGTTGGCAGGAAACCAAGAAATGAGTGGGAAAAGTCCATAAAAGTCCAAAGAAATACTTTGAAATACCTTCAGGAAGCCTGAAGAGTTGTTGATCAAAATCACTGTCAAACATTAGAAGAAAGTCTGGCTGCTTGGGTGGTTAAAATGTTTAATCTGTACTGTATTCACACTGATATGAAGAAGTTGGGTCAGTCCTCTAATAATTTAATGTGCTTTAAGATATAATCTGCTCTAAGCTTCAGTAATATCACCTCAGGTGAGTAACACAAATATCACCTGAGCTCTGTTTATTGAGAGTAAGTCTTCCCTTCATGTTGATTTTAGCAGATCTGAAAAGACCGAAGACTTCACTATATGAAGTGTAAATTGTACAGTATGAATCAAAAATTATATAAAAAGTCATATTTGGTCCAAGTCACATGTGGTCAAGATGACCTCTACATGGAATATACCTTAGCAAACGGAAAATGACAAAAAGTCAGTGAATTTCACAGAAATGAAGTTGGAGTCAAGTTATTCCCATCTCTGAACACGAACAAATCTTGTGAGGTTTTCGTTTAAAGCTTTGACATTTCTGGTGTTTTTTAATTTTGTTGCAGATGAGAGGACTGAAGACTAATTCGAGCTCTGCTGCCGTTTCTGGTCAGTGAGTCGTTTTATTTCTTTTACCATTATCTGCCAGAACAAGGACAAATTAAAAACCTCTCGACATTCGTTGTTGTTCTGAACAGAAATTTGAGTTTTCTGTCTCTCAGAAAATATAATAAAAACATTTTTAATATGATTTCCAAACTTTTTGTCAGCCATATATGGGAGAGTCATTGTCTTGTTTTGGGACATTATTGTCCCCCATCGCAAAGCGAAGAGGGGCATTACAAATACCCTCCATCTGTCCATCTGTCTTGTGAGCTGGATCACTTGAAACATAAGCAACATGCCAACTTCCATTTGGTGAGTGGCTGCTTCTAGACATAAGAAGGGTCCCAAACGAAATTTGGGTTGCCACATCAAAATCCAAGATGGCCACCATATATACTGTATAGGTCAGGGCTATTAAACAAAACTGCTCTGAGGGCCACAGTTTCTGAAAGCCAACAGCTCGGGGGCCGGACATCTAGCGATTAAAATCATTATGTGACTAAAGTAAACCAAAGTTTACGCTGATCTGTTACCTTTTAAATTTGTTTATTTTATTGCATTGAATCATAAATGCAATAAACAAAGTCCAAACCCAGACACCCCCCCCCCCCCCCAAAAAAAATAAATAAATAAATAAATAAATAAAATTATGAAGCTTGAAGTCACCCATGCGCCGGAAATGGCCCGCAGGCTGCCAGTTGAATAGCCCTGGTATAGGTAAACAGGCCACCCCATCATTTGAGGAAACTTTGCTTTCTAGTGTTTATGTCCCATAAAAGTAAAGTTTTCTCAAATGATCGGGGTGACCAACGATTAATCAATGGGGGCCAAGGCCACCACGGGCCACCCTCTGGCTCCGCCATTGCACCTGGTGGTGGATAAAATTGCTCCCTTCGCTCCCCAGGATCTGTCACTCTATAACTTCTATTAACTTGAATATCTTGTGCCAAAAACATGAAGGCTTACTTGTATTCCCTGTTCCAGTCCAGAAAAAACACTCATCTCAAAGTTCACTATTCAACTCCCCCAGTTACAGGGGACATCGATGTACTGCTTGTTTATTGTTTATCATTATTTATACAAAACTTGACTTTGAAAAGTTTAAATTCCAAAATCAGCCAAACCCAAAATTCTCTGTTAAACTGACATGAAAGCGAAATGACGAAATGTGAAATGACAATAGTTTTACTTTAACGTCCCAGAAAGACCATGTGAGCTGCAAAGGATGCTGGGTAACCTTGTGGCAATTCTGTTTACAATGTTTACGATGTTTGAGTGGAAATATGTTGCTCTGGTCGACGTCCTGCTCAGGTTTGCTTTGGCGTTTATGTTGAACTCTGTTAATGGCTTTAAACTGACAGAGGTGGTTCCCGATACATATAAGGGGGAAAGCACTTCCTGTTGGAGAGTGAAAGTATGTACTAATTAGGTCTGTCGCAGTAAACAATAAATCAGTTAATCGCACGATAAATGGAAATTATCGATCTCATTTTCATTTGTTGGCTTTATCGTTTCTTCGTGTCTCTCTTTCTACTGAAGACACTGGATGACAAAAAGTTCAACTCCGGTGCTCTTCACTGACCCCTCCCTTTCTCTTTTCTCTTTATAAAATGTTTTAACCGTCCAAAATTGTGTTTTTGGATCGTTAAAAGCAGCTAAGCTGAGAAGCTAAGCTACGAGCTAAGCTAACTGGCCGACCTCGGGGAAAAAAAACTCCGTCTTGTCGAAGCTCCAAAATTCACGGTTGAAACCAGTGCCTTCGTGTAAAAAGTTTTTTCTCTGCAAAAAAAATAAAAGCTGAGAACTTGTTTACTGATTTAAAAAAAAAAATTATTATTATTCATTCAACCTTTATTTATACAGCTTAATCCCATTGAGCCTCGGGGACTCATTGTTTAAAGCTTTGTGTGACAAATGCTATGCTAAAGAGCTCAAAGCACATAGAGTGTCTGCTATTTTGAGAACTGGAAAAAAGGAAGGAGAGACGGCCCATTTCACGTCAAGGGACCTCCCTTCCATTTTTCTTAAAGACGCTGCTCGCTCCCTCACTATCCATCCTTAGGTTCAAACAGTCTTATACTGCCATCTGGTGGTCAAAAAAGGTACTACACTCAAACTAAAATTGGCCAACATTTCGTCTTAAATTTGGCAATAATTACTAATGTCAAATTTCAAACAATATTATCGTTTATCGCAATAATTTTTGAGGCAATTAATCGCCCAGCAAAATCTGTTATCGTGACAGGCCTAGTATTAATATTAAATAATAATAACCAATAATAGTGATGTCACATAAAAGCAACAGTTATCTGTACACTTTTGGGGGGGGGGGGTCCTCCAAATAGAGTGTGTTTTGTACACTTGAGAAAAAGCTGAAAACTGTGAATCACCCTTAAGTCTGACGTCTCAAACAGATTCTGCACCATCGTCTTGTAAGTCCAAGTGCAAACCCCTGAGCCCAGCCTCTGACATCACCACCTGTACACCAGCGCCCTCCTGTCAGACCGCTCCTCCACCCTCCACCTCAGCCCCGGTCCCTGCTGAACCCAGCCAGGTGGAGACGGCAGATTCTCCCGAGCCTGAAGAAGGTTACCTTCAGGAGGACGCAAAGGAAGCCGACGAGTCCGAGGCAAGCCATGTTTTTATTTTTTACCACAGCTCTATGTTTGTTTGACGTATTACATCATGTTTTTTATGTTCTATCCAAAGGTTGAGCTGTCTGGGCTGGACCACAGGTTCTCCTCTGTGAAGGACGACTTGCTGCTGTGTGATGACTCCGTTCTACCCGTGAGGAAGATCATCGGGGACCGAGGAGGGCCGGCCTCCATGAAGGAGAACGTGTGTCAGGTTTGTTTTCTGGACACGACATCCTCAAGCTGAAAACATCTGGAGCGCCGCGGCACCGTGCCCGTCCGTTAACACCACTAAAACATCAACAAAAAAGGTTGAATCATGTCATCTGGACTTCGTTTTTTTTGTT